AACCGAACTGATAGAATGAACAACCAGCCGGCTTGGATAGCAACCGTAGATTAGTGTCAGGACTATATCTTGTGGAAGGATGAAATAGTATGAATAAATTCATAAAAATAACAATTTTAATGAAAATATGTAAATCATTATTTGAATATGTTGGTAACCCGTTGTATAAAAGTGATAATGCCCTCGAAGCCGGTGTTTGGAGGATACATTGGCACGGTTTGACGGCTCTCAACTTCTTCTCGGGCCTAAGAACACCCGTGCTAATATATCCTCCAAACACCGGCTTCTCGGGTATTATCACTGAAATAATCACGCTCTAGAATGCCCTTCAAGCCAATCAGAAACAAGTATTCAACAATGCCATGGTATAATTAAGCAATAAGGCCGGAGGGGGTGTGGTATATGGCCAATATACCACGGCTAAGGGCTGTTCTTATGCACGATTCAACACGGAGTGCCTGGATACAGCCCTTAGCCGTGGTAAATTGGCCATATACCACAAACCCCAGAGGTGCCTTATTGCTATTATAAACTGGTTACCAATGTAATTAGAGCAGTAAAAATAAATGTTTTGTAATTCCCGTGGTATACGGTCTGATATACCACGGCTGTCAGCCAATCAGCATTTAGGGCTTGAACCACCCAGTTTATAAACAGTGTTACACTAGAATGTGTTTTTACGCACGGTAAATCAAGGGTTGTGCATTTTATAAACAAGTGGAGTTTCATAGCAGGAAACCACACCCTTGATTTACCGTGCGTAAACTTTAAATACCATTATATAATAATAATAATAATAAATAATATGCCATTTAGCAGACGCTTTTATCCAAAGCGACTTACAGTCATGTGCGCATACATTTTTACGTATATAACACGTTAGATATAGGCATAGTATTGTAGTGAAACATTCAGGGCTCTAAATTAACGTTTTTCATTGGTAGCACTGGTGTTTCCTACTTTAAAAAGTTAGGAGAACCACATGAAACTTAGGATGTATAAAATGTATTGAGATACAGCCTATATTGGGCCTATATGAATTCTAGCTACCTCTGGACATTTGTTTATTATAAAAGCTAAAATATTGATACGAGTACCTGTCATTGAAATTATAAAGTCATTTGTGGAATATTAGGTTCTACATTGTGTAAAATAAATATCTTCCTATTGAGATGCATTACATTGAAAATTGTACACTGTCTCTTTAAAGACGTCAGGTTTTTGATGATGACTTGCAAGAGATATGTCATTCATTCATTGCCATGATCATTCATCTGCTGAAGAAGCTATGCCTTTTGCTTTCTAAGGAAGATACAAATGGAAGATAAACATTTTGGGGAATATGGGTCAGATCTTTTGACTTTACTTTAATTAGTTCATTTATGTTATCACACTGTAACAAGTATTGTAGTTAACTGTAACAACTTATTACAGTGTAATAACATGTAACTGGTGTAACAATGAATGCATGTTTGATAGAAATGGGCAGGTTTCCACTAAATTCACCAACTTAATGTTTCGCTGCTTTTCAGCTGCATACAGTCACAAAGGTTGTGATCAACTGGTGGATGCGCTGGGTGTCTGAGAGATTATAGCCTATGCTCAATGGGCTCTATTTACTTACACTTGAATGTGCACTGTTCAAATGATATCTCCACTCAGTGTTGTTGCTAGCCCTTGCCCCTAAAATAAAGTGTACAATCTGGGTTAACTTGGTTGAGCTGGTAAAAACAGTTCAGTAGGTCAACCTCACTGACTGGGATCTAATATGGGTGGCATCCCAGATGTGGAAAAATACACTATTTCAAAGCATAGTACATGTATTGTTTGCCTAAAAACAATGTAATTACTAGTTGTTAAACAGGATTTAGCTCATTAAAATGAAGTGTATCTTGAGGGGTACTTACTTGTAATTAATGTGTACGTATACAGTACATTACACTTCTTGACAAACTGGCCCTGATTTTAAAGCTTCTGGGAGTTTCACTTTATTTTACAATAAGGTACAGAAATTAAGTGAAACCTCCAGAACCTTTAAAATGAGGGCCAGGTTGTCAGGATGGATAATGTACTGTATAAGTACACATTAATTACAAGTAAGTACCCCTCAAGATACACTTAATTTTAATGAGCTAAATCCTATGTAACACCTAGTAATTACATTGTACTTAGGCAAACATTGTGTACTATACTTGAAATAGGGTGTTTTTCCTCATCTCGGATTACCAGGTTAAGCCAGATAGCATGCTTTATTTTGGTGGCAAGTGCTAGAAATAACATTGAGTGAAGATATATTTTCAACAGTGCACATTCATGGGTAAGTAATTAAAGCCTATTGAGCATAATCTCTCGGACACCCAGCGCATCCACGAGGGGTCACAACCTTTGTGACAGTTGTTACTGAATCGGATGCAGCTGAGAAGAAACAAAACGCTAAGTTGGTGAATTTAGTGGAAACCTGCCCATTTGTAATAAGCCTGGTAACAAGCATTCATTGTTACACCTCTGTAATTACAGACCGCAATTACCACCAGTTACATGTTGTTATTACAGTGTAACTAATGGTTGTTACAGTTAACAACAATACTTGTTACAGTGTAATAACACTGTAAAAAGGACCCCTTAAAATGAAGTGTTACTGTTAATTTTTTACATGGACAGTGCACATTAAATCACTGTTTCAGTAAAAGTGCTGGTTTTAGCCAGCCAGCTAATTTTCAACCACAGTCCCTGGGCAGGTTATTTAAAATATTTACAATAACAATACAGAAACAATGAGCAGTGAGCAGATGCAGAGCAACATAGGACAAGCATCACGTAGCACGCTGACAGAGAAACATAGGACAAGCAACACGTAGCACGCAGACAGAGCAACATAGGACAAGCAACACGTAGCACGCTGACAGAGAAACATAGGACAAGCAACACGTAGCACGCAGACAGAGCAACATAGGACAAGCAACACGTAGCACGCTGACAGAGAAACATAGGACAAGTAACATGTAGCACACAGACAGAGCAACATAGGACAAGCAACACGTAGCACATAGACAGAGAAACATAGGACAAGCAACACGTAGCACGCAGACAGAGCAACATATGACAAGCAACACGTAGCACGCTGACAGAGCAACATAGGACAAGCAACACGTAGCATGCAGACAGAGCAACATAGGACAAGCAACACGTAGCACGCAGACAGAGCAACATAGGACAAGCAACACGTAGCACATAGACAGAGAAACATAGGACAAGCAACACGTAGCATGCAGACAGAGCAACATAGGACAAGCAACACGTAGCACGCAGACAGAGCAACATAGGACAAGCAACACGTAGCACATAGACAGAGAAACATAGGACAAGCAACACGTAGCACATAGACAGAGAAACATAGGGAAAGCAACACGTAGCACGCAAACAGAGCAACATAGGACAAGCAACACGTAGCATGCAGACAGAGAAACATAGGACAAGCAACACGTAGCACATAGACAGAGCAACATAGGACAAGCAACACATAGCATGCAGACAGAGAAACATAGTACAAGCAACACGTAGCACGCAGACAGAGCAACATAGGACAAGCAACACATAGCACATAGACAGAGCAACATAGGACAAGCAACACATAGCACGCAGACAGAGAAACATAGGACAAGCAACACGTAGCACGCAGACAGAGCAACATAGGACAAGCAACACATAGCACGCAGACAGAGAAACATAGGACAAGCAACACGTAGCACATAGACAAACAGACCAACAGAGCAGTAGCACAAAAAGCAACAAAACAAAATACATAAAAGCAACAAACAGTGTTTCCACACCTCACCAGCTACAGACAACAGAAACATGGAAAGTGGCAATACATAGCTAGCAATTATGTTCACAAGTCTGATTGTCCTTTAGCCATGTCTTTATGTATTTTGTGAAGGTGCGATAGGTGGTGCAGTATTGTGTTTCTGATGGCAATATGTTCCAGACATTGGAAGCTCTCATAGAGAAAGCAGTTTGTCTAAAGGTACATTTCCTTAAAGGTCATGAACAGTCAAAATCATGTTTTTCATGAAATGGGATGATATTTGAAGATATGATATTCTCTTACCTAATTAAAAAAAGTACCGCCTTGTAATCAACATCGGAGAAGGCGTGTTTGCAGAGGGGCATGGTTTATATAGTTAGATAACTACTCTACTGGTGCAAAGATTGTACTGTAGGGTGTCAGCAAATATAATTCCCTATTCATCTATGGAAAAGATACTTACGTGTCCCCTTTCATCTGTGTCTGGTGTTAGCTAGTTACTGGCTAGCTAGGTCTTCAGCCAGCATGGAACAAAAGTGGAGAAGGGTTACTGCAACACTGCATCTAAGTTGCTTGACATACGTGTTTCAAAAAGCTGTCACCCAAGGCCAGCTCATGAATATAAGCTGCCCGCCCACTTCCTGGTAGTTAGCCATGAGAGAAAAAGTACTTTTCAGAATGACTGTTCAGGATCTTTAAGGGAACTATACAGACCTCTCATGGCAGACCTTGTGGATCTGCTGCCATGGGATTGGTTGGGCTAGAAGCAAGCCGTTTTTGCTGTAGTAACGGTGCAACTATGACGATATTGAATCTGCACTCGCTGTCTTCTCTAGGGCACTCAGAAACAACGGTACAGCGAAGCCTTATCATTACAACAATTATTATCTTGGATTTTTTTTTCCTAATTGCACAGTGCTTCCAAAATAAAACTCCTGGTCACACAGCAAAATATTTTGTCGCATATGCAACCTATAGAGCCCTGGTAACATTCTAGAAATGAACCACCCATGGCTGTGCAATACATGCTTTGTAGGCCTATAGTTTCTACATCTGAAGAAAGAACACTTGCCTAAACCAATATACTTAATTTTTAAGACATCACATTCGAGGCAATTTAAACACACGCCAACTCTGCATGCCATAACGCCCTTATTCTATTCTCTCTCCAATTCTGTGATTGCAGTAACCCACAATGGACTTGAAAAAGTTGGTGGAAGGCACTCTAGACGATCTGGACAAAAAAGGTCTGAAGAGTTTTAAGTGGCACCTAATAAATCTGAAAGAGGATGTGGATGGCTTTCCTAATATCGCAAAGAACAAGCTACCAGAGTGTGCTGACAGTCAGGACACTGTGGATAAGATGGTTGAAAGATATGAAAGCCCAGAAGAAGCCTGCAAGGTCGCAGTGTTCGTTTTACGCAAAATGGAAAATCGCCTTCTTGCCAAGAAGGTGGAGGATCGTGCACTGCAGTCCCCTGGAGGTCAAATGCTCTAATTACATAACCTATACTCTAGGAAATGGATACAAATGTCCCATGGAAGTAATTGGCATTATAGAAAGTTCAGGAAATTATTATTCAGTTGAGAGAGAGGACAGTCACACACAAAATAAGCAATTAAGCCTCTTGCAAGTAAATGCCAATGTGTCTATTCATGAAACCAGCATTAAACATCTTACCATCTGGTGTAAAGGCTTAATGGTCTACCTTGGGCTACTTCTCAAATTTGTATGCAGACTGAGGGCCAAATTGATGGCATGCCATTTGATTATGTGGCCCAATCTCCTACTGAAAATACTAGCCTCAGGGCGGCAACTCATTCCCCTTCTCAAGAAGCAGCCCATGCACACTTCCAAAACAGCCCAAGACTGCAGGGATTATCCCACTGCTGCAACCAGTGTAGCTATCAAGAGGGAACAGCGTGGGGCTTGAACCAGTGACCCTGTAGTTATGAGATATGAGGCGCAATGCCATCTGTCCCACCAGTAGCTCACCTGCTAACTCATACGTCTGTTAAATTTAGACTGGTTTTCTCTGTGTTTTTCAGCTGTTCCTGTCCAGGATCAGGATCAGGATGGCTGCATGTCATGGCTGCGTGGCAAGATGAAGACCCCTGCAGAGAAGGAAAAGGTAGGTACCCAAGACAACAAGAGGTGATTGCTCAGTTAAGGTCCACAAAGTTTGTCCAGGCCTCTGGAACAATAACTATTAGTATAAGACTGTGACATTTTCAGACATCAAACCCAGTAGTAAAAATTATAGTAGCTCTGGAATTAGAATGACATTTGATAATTTAATACAATGATGGCTATATTAACACTAAACCAGGCTAGGGCAGTTTCTGGGTGTCTGATAACAGGAAGCCCCATTCAAACCAAGGGATGGAAAACAACTGGAAGATTATAATATAGCTTTGCCGTGTAAATCAAATGTGTTGGTATAAGGCAAAATAGGCTTTGTTAAAAAAACATGTGGTGTGACTAATAGCTGCCTTGAAGTGGTAGGGACCAAGACATAACGGTTACCATTTAATCATGCAGAACACATTTTGAATGGAATTAGGTAATTGGATAATTGGATAATGAGCCCACAATAAACCTAGGACATTTTTGGGTCAGACGTGTGATGTGAATGTGAAATTAGTTTGTGTGTAACTGACAGCTGACTATACTTTTTACAGGAGGGTTGCTATAGCATGGCCAGCAACTGCAGAGGTGTCTGTGTGATCATCAACAATGTGGACTTTGGGAATGAAGAGAAAAACAGAGAGGGATCAGACATTGATGCTGGTAGATATTCTATTTGTCAGCAGCTGAACATTCGGCTTGCTCTTTTTCTGTTTCAGTAGTTTACAGTTTGACGAGGTAGAATTAGGAAAAGGAGAAGTGAGGAGCAGTAGAAGGAGGATATTTGAAGTGTCTGAGTGTTGAGTCTTCTCTTCTCCTACAGCGGCGCTAGCAGAAGTGTTCAGCTGGCTGAAGTTCAGGGTGGTGATGTGCAAGGACAAGACTGCAGAGGAGATTCCCAGTGTGCTGAAGGTCTTCTCTGAGCTGAAGCAGTTATCTGATCTGCAACCGTACGATGTGAAGGAGTGGGTCGGTGGTCAGTTCACTGATCTAAAGGATCTTCCTAAGCATGGCGACGCCTTCGTCTGCTGCATTCTGAGTCATGGAAACAAGGAGGGAGTCTGTGGCACAGATGGAACGGTCGTCCCCATCAATAAGATCCGTGCACCTTTCAACGGAGAGAAATGCACGATCCTTGTTGGAAAGCCCAAATTGTTCTTCATCCAGGCGTGTCGGGGGAGTTCCAGACAGAAGGGAGTGCAGGTGCCGAAGAAGAACCATGTAGAGGACAGGGATCTGCAGGCAGACGACAACCAAGAACAAAACTACACTCTTCCAATATATTCCGATTTCCTGGTTTTCATGGCCAACGTAGAGCAGTATGTCTCCATCAGGAACAAAGCCAGAGGGTCCTGGTTCATCCAGTCTCTGTGTCGCCAACTGAAAGACGGCTGCCTCAGGTGATGCCTGATTAAATATCCTGCTGGAAAACTCAAATATGTACAACAATTTTCAGATTTGAGAAGGAGTGTAATCACTGCTATTTGGCAATATTTGTTGATTTCGAAACCAGAGTGTGTAAAATCTTGACACCTGCCATGTCTACCGTCTAGTCAATGCCTATCCTATTTAACTTATGCTACACACACCTTTTCTATCCATATACCGTCCATGTTTATACATCCCATCAAATACTGTACCTACAGTATACAGTGCATTCGGAAAGTATTCAGACCCCTTTACTTTTTTCAAATGTTGTTACGTTACTGACTTATTCTAAAATGGATTAAATCGTTTTTTTCCCCTCATCAATCTACACATAATACCCCATAATGACAAAGCAAAAACTGGTTTTTGGATATTTTTGCAAAAGAACATTTAAAAAAAAAAAAATACTTTTCGAATATATTCCAGACTCTGACATTGTTCGTTCTAATATTTATATATTTCTTAATTCCTTTCATTTTAGGATTTGCGTGTATTGTTTTGTATTCGTATTCCTGCACTGTTGGAGCTAGGAACATAAGCATTTAGCTACACCCACGATAACTGCTAAATATTTGTACGGGACCAATAACATTTGATTTGATTTACAAAACGGACATTTTGGACTCAAGGATTCTAAAGCTAGTTTTTGGAAGTGTTAGACATGGCAGCTGTGGACCTTCAGAAACCAGTGAGGAGTTTAGAAGGAATGCTTTGACTATAGTCAAAGATCCTACACACTCCAGTTCAGACTGTTTGGATATTTATTGGGACCCAAACCCTTTTAATCAGGCCACAATAGTCCGCTCTGGCTAGTTTGCGACAATTAAAGATTAAAGCATGGCTGGACAATATAAATGCTAACCAACCTCTGTTCATATCAGCTTGAAATTCACAGTAGATGTTTATGTCCTCAGTTGATTCGTTTTGTTGACATCTTATTTCATGGTGTGTGTCTCCTGTTCTCTGCAGAGGGGAAGACATCCATGCTATCATCACCCTGGTCAATGCTGAAGTGTGCCGGAAAGAATGTGAACTTCCTGTTAAGGATGAACATGGTAAAGTCCTTTACTATGAGCAGGTTAAGCAATCACCGGATTCCAGTCACACCCTGACGAAGACACTCATCTTTCCTGCACCTTGATGACTTCTTGATGTTACCATGAAAACCATTTGTCAACTGTCATTATGGTCATTCAATTTAAAATGAAAGTTTTGATTTTAAAAGCAGCTCCATGCAGGCTGTGAATAGGCCTAAATCATATTCACTGCATTCCTGTTGCGGCGTTCTCATTTTAAATCAGTTTTACATTATGGGAGAGGGGCACCATTATTGCTCTGGTTTTTTTTGTATTTTATATAGTTCCGGCTGTATCATCATCTAGATTTTTTTTTTATCAGAAAAATGTCACCAGCAGGGCCCAGTTTTTTAAAAGTTATCTGGATTTTGCCTATCAGATGGATAGGACTAAATGCATAGAAATAGAATGAACGAATCAGTATTGAATGGGGACTCTATTCCTATGCATTTAATCCTATTCTATAGGCCAAATCCAGATAACTTTTGAAAACTGAGCCCAGATATACCAAGTCATTTGTAGCAAGTAAACTAAGCTATATTGATTTCGTCACCAAACTAAGAATGTATTTGATTTAGCATTTTATGTAATCAAGTGGAGTTTAGTAGTAAGAACAAAAGTCATTGATATCTCAACACATTGTTTCAGTCTTACTTTATTACGTATTTTGATGTGATTTCATCTACTTCCTTTTTTATACAATCATGTTTTCTTACATGCCTTTCCTGCCATCTTAAAATATGTTATACTTCAAAATAAATATTTGATCATTTATCAGCAGTTGGATTGCTGAAATGTTTTTACCTCATGCTCCTCAGAATTGGAGTGACATCTTGTTGAATATAAAAATGTGAAACATGGCTAATAGAAAAATAGACACCCATTTTACAGACCATCTCCAGAACCAGCGGTGGTAGAATACAGTAAACATTCCCCAATTGCCAGCATTTAATAGAAAAATAGATGAATCACATGAGTTTGAAACATCTGTCAGGAAAACAGACATGGCAACCCATGTTCATCACACCCCATAGAGAATGATAGAGGCCTCTAGTGGCCACAAGACAATTTTAACATGGTCAATGCCATTGAGGACTTCCACCATGCTTCCACCATTTTAAAGTAGTCAACTGGGTGGGGATTCATATGGGTTGTAGCCTCAATGGCACTGCCCATGCTGTCACAGACACTATAATGGCAGAGATATAAAGATGAGTCCTCTTTCTATCTCTATGTCACACTCTCTCTGATTGGAGATGGGCCAAGGTACAGAATCGGTGGTAGGGTCCCTGAGACTGATGGTGTACTTAAAAGCCAGCGCAGTAAAAAATGTGCACAAACTAATATCGATATCACATAGACGGTTAGCTAAATGCTTACGAGCGAAAACTTCATCACCCCATGTGTGCCGCACAACAGAGACTCGCAGATAGATATAGAACGCTATGGACTCACAAGCGCCTGCCATTTCCCGTTGTGCTATTTACAAACAAACACGTGACTGGCTTAACTGTTCTGGGGAAATACGGTAAGCTTGATAACGTAAAATAATGTGACAGGTGAAATGAAGAACGCAATTTGCTTTATCTCGTAATGTATTGCACAAGTTGACTGCCGGTATTAACTTAAGAAGTAGCTACAAATATTCAAATTTATTGAAAAACGTCCAAAAGAACAATTTTGACGGTATTGAAAAACCATCCGGTAGCTTTTTCCACATACCCCGGTATATGGTATATACGGTATACCGCCAAAGCCTAAAATACACAGGACCTTCTAATCAGCAGGTTTGCATGGGCGGGAGTTTCGGCTTTCCATGGTGACATCACCATGCAGTAAATTGGTTCATCGGCCAATAACAACGAGATTTCCAAACCTCTCTGCCAATAACAGCTCGTACTTCATTGTTACCCAGAAATGATTTGATATTGATATAAAAACAACTGTATTGGGCCAATGAGAATTCAATGTTCAGACATGACTCCCAATTTGAGGTGTCTCAGTCTGGATCTGTAAGGCAGAGGTGTTTCAGGGGTAGCGGAGGAAAAGTTTCTTGGTGAGGGTGTACTTGGGCTCGGGCATCTGTTTGGAGTCTCCATACAGTCCTCTGCTGACCTCATGATTCACACGCGTCAGCACCGACAGCATATCCTCCCCACTATACAGGAAACAGGAAATACACATCACAACACATCTCTCACCTGTTAATGCCCCTACCCCCCACTCCCCTAACTCACCTGGCAGCTCCCAACACCAGCTGTTTGCAGAGCTCCTGGATGTAGATGGAACCTGCCCTAGTGTTCCGGAATGACTTATACTCCTCCACTGTTGCCATACCAACCAGGAAGTCTGCATCCCAGGGGACTGACTCGATGGCGCCGGCGTCCGCTTCGTACCGCCCCTGTCTCTCTCCCTGCCCAATGGAGGGGGCTAATAGTGTCCCTTGCTGGAGGCCCTTCCCCTGGCAGGCCTGGATGAAGAACAGTTTGGGTTTGCCAGCCAGAGAGGAGCATTGTGCGCTGGTGAAGGGGCGTGTGAGGGACCGGATGGGCACCACCCCCCCGTCTGTTCCAAACACACATACCTTCTCCCCGTGGGACAGCACACACACCACCTAAGACCAGAGACAGAGAGATTAGATAAAATTGTTTTATTCAGTTCCATTCAATGGAGTCCCATTGGGCTTCCAGAGCCGATCCTGAAGAGTATGGAGATTTATGACCGTACAAATAGATCTCACTGCTCACCAGAGCATCTGCCTGTACGTGACTCCGCCCTCCCAGCTCCTGTACCACCTCTAACATGGTCCTCCCTGTCAGGTCCCTCTCCACCTCCACCTCAAACCCCAACTTGGAGAACACACTAAAAAGAGCCCCTAGAGAGAGAGCGAGAAAGAGCAAGAGAGAAAGAGAGAGAGGGAGAGAGAGAGAGAGAGAGAGAGAGAGAGAGAGAGAGAGAGAGAGAGAGAGAGAGAGGACAGAATTTGAAATCCAGGTTGGCCAATGGGCTTCACTGAATGAGATCAGGCTCATAATATCAACCAATAAGGTGAGCAAGGATGCCTACTCTCGTCCTGCTCAGTTCCTGGTCTGTCCCTCAGATCTGAAGTTCCTAGGAAATGGTGGGTATTGATGATGTAGCACATCCCCCGAGGATTACAGGTAATGGGATAGCGCTCCATCAGTTGGACAAACACACACACAGTTACCTCTAACCCCATGGACAACAATAAAATAAATGCCCAACGTTATGTTTGATGTCTATAGTCCACCCTACTGTCTAACCCTAGAGATGTTCCAGAGCTGCATTGTTGAAGTTGTTACCTGGTCAGGCCCAGACCCAGTCTGAGGTGCCGTGTCTGCATCCGAGTACAAACTCACGCTTTGCCCACACTCACCTATGGACAAGGGGCAAGAACACACTTCAGCTACACGTGTATGTGTCTGTGTGTGTGTGTGTGAGACTTATGGCTGGACTGTGATTCTGATATAGACATGCTCTGTAGTGACTGAGGGGGGCTGAAGGCCCTCTGGTCCATGCTGAACCGGGGAGAGGAGCTGGGCTGGGCTGTGATTCTGATATAGACATGCTCTGTAGTGACTGAGGGGGGCTGAAGGCCCTCTGGTCCATGCTGAACCGGGGGGAGGAGCTGGGCTGGGCTGTGATTCTGATATAGACATGCTCTGTAGTGACTGAGGGGGGCTGAAGGCCCTCTGGTCCATGCTGAACCGGGGGGAGGAGCTGGGCTGGGCTGTGATTCTGATATAGACATGCTCTGTAGTGACTGAGGGGGGCTGAAGGCCCTCTGGTCCATGCTGAACCGGGGGAGGAGCTGGGCTGCTGTTTCTGGTTGCTGATTGGCTAAACAGAAGATTTCTGCCATGACAGATTGCCCCTTGCTAAAAAACAACAACCATGTAAAAATAACAATGTATATTTTAATATAATGCATAAATACTGAAATATGAATCAGAGTGAAAGAGTGTGTATGTGTGAGAGACAGAAGAGGAGAGAGTGAGAGTGATTTGTACCTGCTGGCTAGCTGTGTGTGTGTGTGTATTATGTGTGTGTGTGTGTGTGTGTGTGTGTGTGTGTGTGTGTGTGTGTGTGTGTGTGTATATCAATATGTACCTCCTCTGTGCTGGCGTACTGTGCGGGTCAGCTGTGTGTCACACTCCTCCAGTGTCCTCTGTAGCTCATCCAGTCTGTCCTCTGTCAGAAGCCCCTGCCTCTCCATCTCACACAGCCTCTCCATCTCACACAGCACCTCCAGGGCCGTCTACAAGAGACAGAGAGAGAGAGAATGTAATTGTGGGTGTGTGTGTCAGTGTTAACAAAAATAGTGACCTTTTTTTTGTCAAGCACCTATTTTTCTGTGGCAATTGACAAGACTATAATTGACTAAATAGACACAGAAAAAACTAGAACTAAATGATCCATAATACCAGCACTAAGTTTTTTTAAATGTATATCGTGCATTGGCGGGCCGCATTTTACATTCATAAAGTATATAGAAAACTAGGCTACTTGCAGATCCCTTCCGTTAACCATTTGTTTAGGATACACCTTGTTCAGTCATGTTACCTAATTAGCTAGCTATAGCTAACAACCTGGGACGGTCATCAATATGGTGTTACCTTACTCCACCCCTAACCGGTCTGAGGGACAGGTGGAGTTATTACCACATTACTAATACCAAACCTATCATCCAATGCTTTCAGACGTACATTAATGTGTAGGAAGACGTTAGGGTTGGACCTTAATAATCTCTGTATGTGGTCCCTGTCCCTCACTGCCTCCAGGCGTTTCCTGTTGAGCATGTCTCTGCACAGGAAGCACAGAACAGCCACATCAGAAGAGTCCAGCTCCTCATCAATACGGGACAGCAGGCACAGTTCCATCATACACACACTAGATCCCCTGACCAGACTGTACTGCAACTACCACCTGCACAGAGCTATGAAAGAGAGAAGAGGGTCTGGGAAAATGTGGGCCTTTTATAAACGCATTTCATGCAATTCTACATCATTTTAGATGACTGAAGACTTTAGCAGAATTGTTTTAAATACCTCACAAATGATCGAAATGACAATCACCAGCTATGGCTGATGCCCTTGTGTCAAAAGCCTCTCTTTTGTTTTACTTTGTAAGGCCATGCTGTTCGCTCAATAGGCCTATTTGGAAGTTGATAACATATTTAGTAGCCTACAGGCCTACAGATTAGTCTTCTCTTTTCAGCAGGAGCCATTTACTTTCCAATCTGTGTTTTCCTGCGATTGTATTTGAAATATTGCAAAATGCCTGTTTTGGATGCATGCTGTTCACTGACAGATTTGCCACGCGTTCCCGACTGTAGGCATGCTTTGTGATTGGCCAACACACAATCCACAGCTAGGCAATTAAAAAAAAAAAAAAAAGCTATTGCTCCTCTGTGGCTAAATTATAAGCCTACTCCTAGTGGAGTATTCTGAATTAATTCATTTCTTTCTGAACAGACAGCAGTAATTATATAACTCTGGCAAATGTATTTCAATTTATCAGGGGTGCTGCGGCACATCCAGCACCCTTCCCGCGGCTGTGATTCTATAAGTAAACAAATGATGAAGTGCAATGCTGGATAGATGACAGTTGCAGGCTCATGTCAATCAGAGCAGAGAGGGGAAAGAGATCATAGAAAGCGAATGTCATTCTAGTTCTGTGAGAGATACAGGCGCGCTTCTCTCTCTCACCACAGCAATGGCCACGCATTGGTCTATAAGCGCTACAATGTTGCGAAAACCACAAACCCGGGCCGGCCCAACTCTAATCAATTCTTACTGTAGAATATCAGGCACGTTTTCACGTTACATTTTTTAGGGGGCAGGATAATTACAGAGGAGGCAACTTGAATTAACTCTGCTTTTATTATAATTTTTTACATTGCAAACTGTGAAAAAAATTATAATGCCAAGAGAAGTACCGGATCCTGGCAAATGGGTTCCGGAACGAAACAGTCCCAAACTGAGAGGTGCCGGACTTGTTCCGGCAGGATCCGTCTCAAATTAAGCACTGGCTACAGGACTATGACATGTAGGTAGCCTCTGCTGCATGACAGGACGAGAAACCTGCACAGTCCACAGATTAGTGCAGGGGGGGCGGAATGAATGAAGGGGAAGCTGACTAAATTAACAGAATAAAACATTTTTACAGACAATTTATGTTTCAGTTTATATCTTGGTCATAGATTGTCTGTACGTATTTCAGCGTCAACAAGGCAAGTGTCAGAACAGTGGAGGCTCCTCAGAGGAGGAAGGAGAGGACCATCCTCCTCAGTGAATTTCATAAAAATACAAATAGTGAAACATTGAAAAAGTTATCCTTTTTAGATAAAACTATACTAAATATACACTGCTCAAAAAAATAAAGGGAACACTTAAACAACACAATGTAACTCCAAGTCAATCACACTTCTGTGAAATCAAACTGTCCACTTAGGAAGCAACACTGATTGACAATACATTTCACATGCTGTTGTGCAAATGGAATAGACAACAGGTGGAAATTATAGGCAATTAGCAAGACACCCCCAATAAAGGACTGGTTTTGCAGATGGTGACCACAGACCACTTCTCAGTTCCTATGCTTCCTGGCTGATGTTTTGGTCACTTTTGAATGCTGGCGGTGCTTTAACTCTAGTGGTAGCATGAGACGGAGTCTACAACCCACACAAGTGGCTCAGGTAGTGCAGCTCATCCAGGATGGCACATCAATGCGAGCTGTGGCAAGAAGGTTTGCTGTGTCTGTCAGCGTAGTGTCCAGAGCATGGAGGCGCTACCAGGAGACAGGCCAGTACATCAGGAGACGTGGAGGAGGCCGTAGGAGGGCAACAACCCAGCAGCAGGACTGCTACCTCCGCCTTTGTGCAAGGAGGAGCAGGAGGAGCACTGCCAGAGCCCTGCAAAATGACCTCCACAAATGTGCATGTGTCTGCTCAAACGGTCAGAAACAGACTCCATGAGGGTGGTATGAGGGCCTGACGTCCACAGGTGGGGGTTGTGCTTACAGCCCAACACCGTGCAGGACGTTTCGCATTTGCCAGAGAACACCAAGATTGGCAAATTCGCCACTGGCGCCTTGTGCTCTTCACAGATGAAAGCAGGTTCACACCAGCATATGGTCTTCACACTGAGCACATGTGACAGACGTGACAGAGTCTGGAGACGCCGTGGAGAACGTTCTGCTGCCTGCAACATCCTCCAGCATGACCGGTTTGGCGGTGGGTCAGTCATGGTGTGGGGTGGCATTTCTTTGGGAGGCCGCACAGCCCTCCATGTGCTCGCCACAGGTAGCATGACTGCCATTAGGTACCGAGATGAGATCCTCAGACCCCTTGTGAGACCATATGCTGGTGCGGTTGGCCCTGGGTTCCTCCTAATGCAAGACAATGCTAGACCTCATGTGGCTGGAGTGTGTCAGCAGTTCCTGCAAGAGGAAGGCATTGATGCTATGGACTGGCCCGCCCGTTCCCCAGACCTGAATCCAATTGAGCACATCTGGGACATCATGTCTCGCTCCATCCACCAACGCCACGTTGCACCACAGACTGTCCAGGAGTTGGCGGATGCTTTAGTCCAGGTCTGGGAGGAGATCCCTCAGGAGACCATCCGCCACCTCATCAGGAGCATGCCCAGGCGTTGTAGGGAGGTCATACAGGCACGTGGAGGCCACACACACTACTGAGCCTCATTTTGACTTGTTTTAAGGACATTACATCAAAGTTGGATCAGCCTGTAGTGTGGTTTTCCACTTTAATTTTGAGGGTGACTCCAAATCCAGACCTCCATGGGTTGATACATTTGATTTCCATTTATACTTTTTGTGTGATTTTGTTGTCAGCACATTCAACTATGTAAAGAAAAAAGTATTTAATAATATTATTTCATTCATTCAGATCTAGGATGTGTTATTTCAGTGTTCCCTTAATTTTTTTGAGCAGTGTATTCACGTCACCAAATAATTGATTAAAACACACTGTTTTGCAATGAAGGTCTACAGTAGCCTCAACAGCACTCTGTAGGGTAGCACCATGGTTCTCACCCCCTTCCATAGACATACACAGACATACACGTCCTCCAACCTATCAGAGCTCTTGCAGCATGAACTGACATGTTGTCCACCCAATCAAAGGATCAGAGAATGAATCTAGTACTGAAAGCATAAGCTACAGCCATCTATCTCTGCAGTGCATGAAATGTGGTGAGTAGTTGAATCAAAGAGAGAGAAGGACAATAGTTGAACACTTTTGAACAAATAAATTTATTCAAAAATGAAGAAGAAGCAAAAGAGAGAGCAAGACAGATACATATATATATTTTATTTTTAACTTTTACTTTCATTTAGTTTGTAAGGGCAGATAGCTAGTTTAGCCTACTCAAACACCCAGCTCAAACAGAGAGGGATGCTATGTTACCTAGATGGCTATGGCTATCCAATACTGGAACTCTTCCAAGTCAAGGTAAGCTTTTGGTTTAATTAATTGATTGCCACCGGGGCCCGCCCGGTGTAACTGCTAAACTGCTTGCTAACTGTACACTGTACTGCATGATTGTAGCGGATTTACTAACACGTTAGTTGTAGTAGCTATGTTGACTTGACGTTAGCTAATATGGTGACAACAATGTAGGCTGTATGTTGCGGTTAACGGTTATGATTTGAAGGTTTGGGTTGGAAAGGTTTTTTCGTCTGGTCACAGACAGCTGATGTGTTATGCACTGAAGTCCACAAGCGAAGGGAAAAGGTGAGAGGAGGAGAGCGCGTAGATGCGAGAAGGAATTATCCAATGAACAAAGAGATCTTGCTGTTTATATGTGGCTGTTATTAAAGTGAACTGTGTTTGCGAGTGATCAGTGGTGTATTCATTCCGCCGATTCTGTTGAAAAACGTTTCTTAAACGGAAGCAAACAGAACGAGAGGGGGATAAACATCCTGAATTTGTCCAATAGAAATGATCTTGTGCAACTGTTGGACTAATGATTACAACCTAGATCAGCTAGATGCAGGCAAGAGTGTGCAAGGCGGTATTAAATGTGTCAATGTCTGTAACATTGATTACTCAAATTTCTCTTGACCTGTGCACCTAGGTTGTAAACGTTCATTCATAGGCTAGGTTATAGCAACCTCATGATAGGTATAGGGAAAATGTGAGTATCATGTAGTAGCCCAAACCTATCGCTGTTACATTGAACTGGGTGAATGGAATATGAATTACATTACAGTCATCCAATATGCTGTAATAGAAATAAGGCCATGCTCATTAAAAAGAATAATCGTCCTCGCTCATCTTTAAACGGCACCAACCGCCACTGTGTCAGAAAAACAAAGCGGCATAATTTCTTGACGATTGATGACGTAACCAACAAACACCGCACCGGGAAAGTGCAGACTTGGAAAGTACGTTGTCTGACGGTGAGATCTGTACATAATCACGATATGCTCGTCTCCGCACTAACAATGTGAGTAGTTGTCCCAAGGGCGGCCGACAAATTTATGTCCAAAATAAACCCATAAAAACGTATTGGGATTATTTTGGACATATCTCGTCGAGAGTGAAATCTCTCGTCTGTACTTTTAGTGACAACATCGTAATTCGCAAATAATGTTTACAGCATGTTTAATCATATTAACTTGTCATTCAACAGTAATACAGCCGTTGACTGTTGTCATGAGAAGTGACATAAAATAACATTTTAAAGGAGCGGCCAAAACTTACCTTGGGTCGATTTCTACTAATGTACTAACCACCACGTAGCCAGTAGATGAGACACTGACAGAACAGACTTCATAAGAGAACTGCCGCGTCAATTCACACAACTATCAAAAAAACTGTCGCAATTTACAGTATGTAGGCTATATACTTTTAAAAAAACGAAATATCGCTGCCACCGTGCTCCTTGGACCGGCTGTCCCGTTTTCTTTAGGTTTGAAGATTGGAGTATCAGTAGGTCATGACAATGCGCGCTCATTGGTTGTACAGTAACATGTACCTCTTCCGGGTACATAAAATATAGGGCCTTTGTTATTTTAAGTTGAATAAACACAACACACATTTTGCTTAAATAAAACATCACACTTTATTGAAACTTAAAATGACAACACACACAGCTGAAAATGAGCTCCTAGAATTCCTTATCTATGTACCAATAATCTACAAGTGTTCCCTTTCCTCATCTCATTTCCTTCATAACCACTGCTCTGCCTTATTGCCCAAACCACTAATAGTTCAGTTGTCCTTCAAGAGATGAAAGAAAGAACACATTAAAAAGAACTGGGCTGCATCCCAAAAAGAGGCTTCTTCTCTTCATTCCCTTTCCTCCATCTGTATTGACATAAAATAATAGGGCAGGTGAATGCAAATCTCTAGTAGGCACGGCAAGCCTACATCACAGTGCTTTCACCTATCCCATATGTGTCTCAGATCAGTGCAGCTGAAGGAGAGCAAACGAGGAGAGGAAGCTATTTTAGACTATTGAGACGCAGCCCCAGTGTGCGTCCTCAGGGTGAGGAGGTGTTGAAGGTGCTCCCCGGGGATCGGAGGGAGGCGAATGGGGAGAAGTACTCGCAGGCAAACACAAAGACGTCGCTCGGTTTCCGTAGTAACAAAAACTGCAGGAAGTCGGCCATCATGGTGCGGAGCTCCGGGTGTTGCCGCAGGTACGAGGCATGCTCCGCCTTCAACTCCTCCTGTAACACACATAAGGGCATGTCAGAAACGTAGGGGTTAGTGTTTTAAGAGTAAGGGGCTAGGGCAGCGTTTCCCTACCTCGGTCCTGGGGACCCCAAGGGGTGTACATTTTGGTTTTTGCCATAGCACTACACAGCTGATTCAAAGCTAGATGCTGAGTTGATTATTTGAATCAGCTGTGTAGTGTTACGTCAAAAACCAAAATGTGCACCCCTTGGGGTCCCCAGGACCGAGTTTGGGAAACGCTGGGCTAGGGTGAGAGTAGGGGTGAGGGATAGGAAAATACTAATATGTCACCTTTCTGTCAAGGAACATGGAGTGCATCTGCATGTCCTCCTCCCAGACCAGAGGCCTCTTCTCAAACACGGGCTTAACATCCCTCACCTCTGAGACACAACACAGATACACACACACATGTAAATAGGGGAACACTCCTAATACCGTGTTTGTATGTGTGTATATGTGTGTTTCGGTACCTGTGTGTGTTTGGAGCGGGAGCAGCAAGAGCCTCATGGTCACAGGAGAGCCCACCTGCACTCGGCTAGCCAGATGCCTAAACAGGTGCAGGATATGACATCACACAGGTAGAAAGTGATGAGAGGGGCGGTCAGAGACGCAACACATCCCACTCCCTCCTTTTTTCTGTTTAAATGGAAGTCAATGAACTAAGTAGACCAGACCCAGCTGCTATCACATTGGTGTCTGTGGGAGAGCCACCCCTTAAGTAGACAGGAACTGACAATTATTTTCAATAGTAAATGTCCTGAGTGAACTATTTTCATTCATCCACCATCTTTGGGGCGGTGCCCTGTATGTCCTCTGTCCCTTTGGTCTGGTGGTAGTGATGTCATCTTACCCGTCAGGCAGGAAGTAGCAGTGCCACGTGGCTGGGATGTCCTCCACCAAGTCGACCGTCCTCTCCACCCCAAACACCTCCACCACCTCCTCTCCCACTGTCTGCTGCCTGCACCCCAGCTCCCTCTGACCACAGATAGACCACTCATTACCCAAAACACGTGGTCAATACACGGTCAAATCAAACACAAATGAGAACACAAATAAAAAGTTCCAGTACTGTAAACAAACTCATGCACACTTTTCACAAAGAAGACACACACATTTCTACTGTATAAGTAGGCTCACACACACACACACACACTCACGTATGTGGAGGTGGAGATGTGTGCATCCTGGTCGAAGGAGAGGAAGGTCATGTTTTCCGGGATGTTCTTCCTCAGAGCGAAAACCCTCAGCAGCAGCAGGTTAGAGCCCTCGCACACTAACCCCTTCACAGAGGCCAGAGGGTAAGACACGGTTTGCCTCCTCACCTCCTACACACACACACACACACACACACACACACACACACACACACCAGGTTAGAATTCTCAGATAGAAATCCTTCTCAAAGAGCACAATGGAAAACACACACTGCCCTCCTACCTCACACATACATATACCTCCTCCCCCCATTTCTCTCTCACCTCTCCCACAGTGGTGATTTTGTTCACCACCAGCTGTCCATCACGCTGGACCATGTGACACTTCCTGTCCAATCGGTGGTCCTGAAGCTGAGAGCAGAGAATTAGTCTATGCGGAATCGCCAGAAAACGCAAACGTCTGGTTTTTTCAACCTGACTTCCGTTTTTGTCACGACTTCCGCCGAGGCTGCCTCCCCTTCTTGTTCGGGCAGGCTTCGGTGTTCGTCGTCACCGGCTTACTAACCACTGCCGCCCCAATTATCATCATCACATTTGTCTTGTCAATCACACACACTTGGTTCTAATCCCCTCATTAGTCCGTGTATAAGTGTTCCCTCTGCCCCCTTGTCCTTGTGGGTGATTGTTTGAATGTGAGAGTAGTATAGCTCAGTGGAGCTACTCGTACCATTTTGTTGCCAGGGTAGATATTTCACCTGTGCCTGTTTCGTTTGTCGCTATTCCAGCATATTTTGTGTAACGAAGGAATAAACTCTTTATTCGGTGATTACCCTCCTGCGCCTGACTCCTTCCATCACACTCATCACAGTTTTCCATGAAAAACTGAAGCGTGAACTCTGCTCAGGGGGTCTTTCTATGCCTGCTACGTTAGGTTAGCAGAGAATTTATGGGAATGTTATATTGCAGAGTTTTGATGTTTTAGTCTTATAAGGTTTTGTAAAATGGTCTAGCCTGTGTAGACCGGTTTCAGGCAGTTCAAGCTGGTTTACCTTGACGTACTCGTGGTGGTTCTGCTCCAGGGTCTCCAGGTTCAAAGAAAGGTAGGCTGATTGGAAAGAGAGACAGAGATAGTAATCGCAGACTTAGAAAGACCAACACTCAAGACTCTTCCCCCCTAGTCTTACCAGTGATGGCTGTACCACAGGGAGTGTTGTCAATAGCTCCATGGCTGTGTGCGTGCAGCAGCAGACAAGGCTGCTCCCTGCAGCTGCTCCTCTCCACAGTCACCTTAAACTCTCCCAGCTCTCTGCCCCCCTCGGACACTGTCACCAGAGAGTCTTCAAACACACACTGCTGCATCTCCGTGGCCCCTACACAAACACACACACATTATGAAAACTAGCTACAGCCATAGCAGGGCTACCATGAAAGAGGCACTTGAGAGTGCAGGTGCCAACACTCACTGACTCAGCTACCTCTATTTAACTCACCTATGCTGGACAGAAAGGCGATGCCCTCGCTAGAGGTTTTTAACTCCTCGGCTTCCTCCGTTGTTGCAGTCTCCTCCATATCAGACTTTCAGTTTGGAGTTTCAGATACACGAAAATATGAATATGGGCAGTTTGCCAAAGCAGCTTACTACAACAACAACAACAACAACAGCAACACCACAGGCTAGAGTTGGCAAACTAATACTGAGCTTGCTGGCTGAAGTTAATGTGATAGCAAATCATTCTATAAAGAAACGATTGATTGAATCATTCAGTGAGTTCGCATGTTTTTACCTTATTTAGCTAGAAGTTCAATTTGTAAGTCGCTATGGATAAGAGTGTCTGCTAAATGATATAAATGTAATGTAAATGTAAGTCTGGCAGAAGATTACACTGATCTTTTTTTCGCTGTTGATGTCTGTCTGTCTGTCTGTCTGTCTGTCTGTCTGTCTGTCTCAAGAACAAGAAAAACCCTCACAATATGGGTTGCCGTGGCAACAACGCCTGACAGTCGAAGAACCATAAAGATCTTATAAACGCGCAGCGTAATATGTGGTGGTTATTTCCATAGAGATCCTATTACGTATCTAATTCCTAATTCGATGGTTTTTTTTCCTTGTGCAGTATGAACAAAGAAGCGACCCCCTACTTTTAAAACAACATTTACAAAAGAAATGACACAAAAAAGATTATTCGGCAGCTGCGTCTGGTCTAGTATTACTGTTATGAATCCAGTCTTTCAGAATAGCTATTTTTGCTATTTTCACAACCACAATTATCGGCGCAGTTTGTGGCGTTGGCGTGAAAGGGCTGGGTTTTGATCAGTGGTGGGAAAAGTACACAATTGTCTTACTTGAGTGAAAGGTAAGATTCCTTAATAGAAAATGACTCAAGTAAAACTGAAAGTCACCCAAAAAAATACTACTTGAGTAAAAGTCTAAAAGTATTTGGTTTTAAATATATGTAAGTATTAAAAGTTAATGTAATTGCTAAAATAATCTTAAGTATCAAAAATAAAAGTATAAATCATTTCAAATTCCTTATATTAAGCAATGATTTTCTTGTTTAAAAAAAAATGTATGGATAGCCAGGGGCACACTCCAACATTACATTTACATTTACGACATTTAGCAGACGCTCTTATCCAGAGCGACTTACAAATTGGTGCATTCACCTTATAGCCACTTTACAATATGTTTATTTTTTCTTTGGGGTAGAAGGATTACTTTATCCTATCCCAGGTATTCCTTACAGAGGTGGGGTTTCAAGTGTCTCCGCTGTCCTGGCGTCGTGAGGGAGCTTGTTCCACCATTGGGGTGCCAGAGCAGCGAACAGTTTTGACTGGACCATTTTCCTGTCCTGTTAAGCATTCAAAATGTAACAAGTACTTTGTCAGGTGTCAGGGAAAATGTATGGAGTAAAAAGTACATTATTTTCTTTAGGAATATAGTGGAGTAAAAGTAGTCAAAAATATAAATATTAAAGTTAAGTACAGATGCCCCAAAAAACTACTTAAGTAGTACTTTCAAGTATTTTTATTTAAGTCCTTTACACCATTTGTTTTGATGAATAAACAAGTTGTGGGTGTGTCGAGGCTTGGCCCCTAACTGGCCAATCAGAAAGTGCTCCATGGCTAAATATGTGTGGTTGCTTCAAGTTGTGTATTTACGGTATTTTATGTATTGCCTTGGAATCAACTATTAGTCCGGTATAGTTTGTTAAACAGCTTGCAGAAACAAAATAACAAAATGTAGACTTATCCCATCTTTCTTAAATATGTTAACTTGAACATGTTTGCAGTCCACATTGTTCTAAGTAATTGCATGGCTTCAATGTGGAAATATATACATAGCATTCGCACTGATATAGGGGCTTGGCTTACTGTAAATTGCATTATGGCTGATCATGGACATGCCAAATGTTGTCAATAAGCAATATGAAATTAATTATTGATAAGGCCTAAAAAGAGAAAAAATAATTTTAATCAAATTCTAAATAAACTTTTTTTAAATAGGCATGTTTAAAATGTCTAAATACATTTACAGGCACCATAATTGCTTCCTGTGGGCATATAATATTAAAACAACGCAGACTATGGAGGGTTTTACCCACATCCAAACTTTTCACAGTAGCTGGACAAACATCCAATATAAAGAGAATGGGAGAATGTCCACTCACCTTTACACTGCTCCCAAATCTAATGTTTTACATACATATTGAAACCATCTTATTGCATGCGTGCCACGGACGTTCTCACCATAAAACCAGGACAATTAATATTTCGAATAAGTTTGGTTTTAATCAAATTCAACGAAAAACAAGCAATCTGTTCGTTATTTTCAACAACAATAAATACATGTAAAATGTAATGATATCATAAAATCTCCAGCATAAAAAAAAGACACGACGCATTGCTGTTGAACTAGCCTCCAGGTCAGTGTAGCCTACGGAGGGAGGGGTTTAAAAAAAAGAAAGTCTTCCCTCTCGGAAGACCTGAGGCGCCCTGACCTGACATCCATTCCCTGCCAGATCGTTAGCCATGAACATCATTCTCCCGGAACATTCACCCCACCCCTGCCTGGTCGTCGGTGGCTTCTGTGACACCATTGGATCTGCCTATTCACTCCCACCAACTCGCCTCCGCTGCCCGCTCTGTCTCCTGGATTATTCTGCTTCCACATTTGAGTCTGTAAATAAATACTCACCTTCGTTCTACTCATCTTGTCCTGGTCTGCTTCTGGGTTCTGCTTTAGAGAATCGTGACACCTGAATTGAAGCATGGGACCAAATTCATTTAGCCAGTTTTCCATGCTTATGGACATGACTTGCCATGTCAGGTACTTGAACATGATCATTAATATTGTCAGTAGGTATTTATTCATATTTTATAAGGTTTAACCAAATAACCCTTTTACCATGGTATGACATGATTTTATATTTCTAGATGAAATTGAACACTAGATATGTGGAAGGTGCTGGACTGGCAGATGGGGAGCAGATGGAGACGCTGTTGTCGTATCTGAGGCGCTTTGGGAAGGTCACCAAAGAGATGATGCCGTCCCATCATATTGACCTCCTGACTGATGCACTTCTCCACCATGGGAAAAAGATATGCCAGAGGCAACGTTAGTACACTTGGAATTGTTATTCATTTACGTGATGCTGGTTGACTCTAGTGATGTCCATTTTTTTTGTGTTAGTGGACTCTCTGCCACAGAGGCTTTCCCGAGCAACAGAAGTTGCAACAGAGGCAGAAAGGGAAATGGCAGAAATTTCACAGTCTCTTCCAGGTAAACCATTGTATCAATAATCTAATCATAGAATTTCAGTATTGATTAGAAATGTTGTCACATCTGTCACTGTTGTTATGTTTTAGGAACAACACTGGACACCATTAGGGATTGGGGCAGGAATGTCAGTGTCACCCTTGAGAGGCAAAAACTTGCTCTGTGCTGGGAGGAGCAATATGTTGCAATGCTCCAGCAACATACAATTGCAATGTATGCAATTAATTTCAAATAACTAAACAAAGTTGTTATTTTTTGGCATGCATTATTGTATGCCCTCTTTGATCCATTTTTTATTTTCAGGGCACAGCAGGAAAGTGGAGATGGAACAGCTGTTTGTCAGCTTGTGCAGATAGAGAGGTACTTCCTCAGTTAGTTTTTAACAGTGTAATTGTTCGATCAATTAATACAAATGATGTCCCTGGACAAAGTATTTAGAACCTTTCTGATTACAGAAAACTCAAGACGATGGAGAGGAAGAACAGCATCCTCCATCGATGGTCACCCACCAGCAATCGCTTCCAGAATGCAGAGTAACAGATTGAAGACCAATCTGGAGGGAACCTCTGTGGCCTGATGAGAAAATATGCAGGTTGTATATGTACAGTTGAAGTCTGAAATTTACATACACCTTAGCCAAATACATTTAAACTCAATTTTTCACAATTCCTGACATTTAATCCTAGTACAAATTCCCTGTCTTAGGTCAATTAGGATCACCACTTTATTTTAAGAATGTGAAATGTCAGAATAATAGTAGAGAATGATTTATTTCAGCTTTTATTTATTTCATCACATTACCAGTGGGTCAGATGTTTACATACACTCAATTCGTATTTGGTAGCATTGCCTTTAAATTGTTTAACTTGGGTCAAATGTTTTGGGTAGCCTTCCACAAGCTTCCCACAATAAGTTGAGTGAATTTTGGCCCATTCCTCCTGACAGAGCTGGTGTAACTGAGTCAGGTTTGTAGGCCTCCTTGCTCGCATACGCTTTTTCAGTTCTGCCCACATATTTTCTATAGGATTGAGGTCAGGGCTTTGTGATGGCCACTCCAATACCTTGACTTTGTTGTCCTTAAGCCATTTTGCCACAACTTTGGAAGTATGCTTGGGGTCATTGTCCATTTGGAAGACCCATTTGCAACCAAGCTTTAACTTCCTGACTGATGTCTTGAGATGTTGAGTCAATATATCATTATATCCACATAATTTTCCTTCCTCATGCCATCTATTTTGTGAAGTGCACCAGTCCCTCCTGCAGCAAAGCACCCCCACAGCATGATGCTGCCACCCCCGTGCTTCACGGTTGGGATGGTGTTATTCGGCTTGCAAGCAACCACCTTTTTCCTCCAAACATAACGATGGTCATTATGGCCAAACAGTTCTACTTTTGTTTAATCAGACCAGAGGACATTTCTCCAAAAAGTACGATATTTGTCCCCATGTGCAGTTGCAAACCATAGTCTGGCTTTTTTATGGTGGTTTTGGAGCAGTGCCTTCTTCCTTGCTGAGTGGCATTTCAGGTTATGTCGATATAGGACTCGTTTTACTGTGGATATAGATACTTTTGTACCTGTTTTTTCCAGTATCTTCACAAGGTCCTTTGCTGTTGTTCTGGGATTGATTTGCACTTTTCGCACCAAAGTACGTCCATCTCTAGGAGACAGAACGCGTCTCCTTCCTGAGCGGTATGACGACTGCGTGGTCCCATGGTGTTTATACTTGCGTACTATTGTTTGTACAGATGAACGTGGTACCTTCAGGCATTTGGAAAGTGCTCCCAAGGATGAACCAGACTTGTGGAGGTCTACAATTTTTCTTCTGAGGTCTTGCCTGATTTCGTTTGATTTTCCCATGATGTCAAGCAAAGAGGCACTGAGTTTGAAGGTAGGCCTTGAAATACATCCACAGGTACACCTCCAATTGACTCAAATGATGTAAATTAGCCTATCAGAAGCTTCTAAAGCCATGACATCATTTTCTGGAATTTTCCAAGCTGTTTAAAGGCACAGTCAACTTAGTGTATGTAAACTTCTGACCCACTGGAATTGTGATACAGTGAATTATAAGTGAAATAATCTGTCTGTAAACAATTGTTGAAAAAAGTACTTGTGTCATGCACAAAGTAGATGTCCTAACCGACTTGCATTTGTGGAGTGGTTGAAAAAACAGTTTTAATGACTCCAACCTAAGTGTATGTACACTTCCGACTTCAAGTGTACATTTATGTGCCAGACCACGCCCACATTAATGTTTATTGGTCAGTTGTTTGATATACTAGTCTGGAAAGTATTGCGTTGAAGGACCTTGGATGCCATACAGTGCCTTCGGAAAGTATTCAGACCCCTTAACTTTTCCACATTTTGTTACGTTACAGCCTTATTCTAAAATTGATTCAATCATTTTCCCCCCTCAACAATCTACACACAATACCCCATAATGAAAAAGCAAAAACAGGTTTTTAGAAATTTCACATATACATAAATTCAGACCCTTTACTCAGTACTTTGTTGAAGCACCTTTGCCAGCGATTACAGCCTCGAGTCTTCTTGGGTATGACGCTACAAGCTTGGCACACCTGTATTTGGGGAGTTTCTACCATTCTTCTCTGCAGATCCTCTCAAGCTCTGTCAGGTTGGATGGGGAGCATTGCTGCACAGCTATTTTCAGGTCTCTCCAGAGTTGGTTGATTGGGTTCAAGTCCGGGCTCTGGCTGTGCCACTCAAGGATGTTCAGAGACTTGTCCCTAAGCCACTCCTGCGTTGTCTTGGCTGTGTGCTTAGGGTTGTTGTCCTGTTGGAAGGTGAACCTTTGCCACAGTCTGAGGTCCTGAGCAGGTTTTCATTAAGGATCTCTCTGTACTTTGCTCCGTTCATCTTTGTCTCGATCCTGATTAGTCTCCCAGTCCCTGCCGCTGAAAAACATCCCCACAGCATGATGCTGCCTCCACCATGCTTCACCGTAGGGATGGTGACAGGTTTCCTCCAGATATGATGCTTGGCATTGAGGCCAAAGAGTTCAATCTTGGTTTCATCAGACCAGAGAATCTTGTTTCTCATGGTCTGAGTCTTTAGATGCCTTTTGGCAAACTCCAAGCGGGCTGTCATGTGTCTTTTATTGAGGAGTGGCTTCCGTTTGGCCACTCTACCAGAAAGGTCTGATTGGTGGAGTGCTGCAGAGATGGTTGTCCTTCTGGAAGGTTCTCCCATCTCCACAGAGGAACTCTGGAGCTCTGTCAGAGTAACCATTAGGTTCTTGGTCACCTCCCTGACCAAGGCCCTTCTACCCCGATTGCTCAGTTTGGCCGGGCAGCCAGCTCTAGGAAGAGTCTTGGTGGTTCCAAACTTCTTCCATTTAAGAATGATGAAGGCCACTGTGTTCTTGGGGACTTTCAATACTGCAGAAATGTTTTGGTACCCTTCCCCAGACCTGTGCCTCGACACAATCCTGTCTCAGAGCTCTACGGACAATTCCTTCGACCTCATGGCTTGGTTTTTGCTCTGACATGCACTGTCAACTGTGGGACCTTATTTAGACAGTGTGTGCCTTTCCAAATCATGTCTAATCAATTGAATTTACCACAGGTGAGCTCCAATCAAGTTGTAGAAACATCTCAAGGATGATCAATGGAAACAGGATGCACCTGAGCTCAATTTCGAGTCTGAATACTTATGTAAATAAGGTATTTCTGTTTTTTATTTGTAATACATTTGCAAACATTTCTAAAAACCTGTTTTCGCTTTGTCATTATCAATCAATCAATCAATCAATTTTATTTTATATAGCCCTTCTTACATCAGCTAATATCTCGAAGTGCTGTACAGAAACCCAGCCTAAAACCCCAAACAGCTAGTAATGCAGGTGTAGAAGCACGGTGGCTAGGAAAAACTCCCTAGAAAGGCGAAAACCTAGGAAGAAACCTAGAGAGGAACCAGGCTATGAGGGGTGGCCAGTCCTCTTCTGGCTGTGCCGGGTGGAGATTATAACAGAACCATGCCAAGATGTTCAAAAATGTTCATAAGTGACAAGCATGGTCAAATAATAATCAGGAATAAATCTCAGTTGGCTTTTCATAGCCGATCATTAAGAGTTGAAAACAGCAGGTCTGGGACAGGTAGGGGTTCCATAACCGCAGGCAGAACAGTTTAAACTGGAATAGCAGCAAGGCCAGGCGGACTGGGGACAGCAAGGAGTCACCACGGCCGGTAGTCCCGACGTATGGTCCTAGGGCTCAGGTCTCTCAGTTGGCTTTTCATAGCCGATCATTTAGAGTTGAAAACAGCAGGTCTGGGACAGGTAGGGGTTTCGTAGCCGCAGGCAGAACAGTTGAAACTGGAATAGCAGCAAGGCCAGGCGGACTGGGGACAGCAAGGTGTCATCATGCCCGGTAGTCCTGACGTATGGTCCTAGGGCTCAGGTTCTCAGAGAGAAAGAGAGAACGAGAGAATTAGAGAGAGCATACTTAAATTCACACAGGACACTGGATAAGACAGGAGAAGTACTCCAGGTATAACCAACTAACCCCAGCCCCCCGACACATAAACTACTGCAGCATAAATACTGGAGGCTGAGACAGGAGCGGTCCGGAGACACTGTGGCCCCATCCGAAGAAACCCCCGGACAGGGCCAAACAGGAAGGATATAACCCCACCCACTCCGCCAAAGCACAGCCCCCGCACCACTAGAGGGATATCCCCAACCACCAACTTACAATCCTGAGACAAGGCCGAGTATAGCCCACAGAGGTCTCCACCACAGCACAAACCAAGGGGGGGGCGCCAACCCAGACAGGAAGATCACGTCAGTAACTCAACCCACTCAAGTGACGCACCCCTCCCAGGGACGGCATGAAAGAGCACCAGCAAGCCAGTGACTCAGCCCCTGCAACAGGGTTAGAGGCAGAGAACCCCAGTGGAGAGGGGAACCGGCCTGGCAGAGACAGCAAGGGCTGTTCGTTGCTCCAGCCTTTCCGTTCACCTTCACACTCCTGGGCCAGACTACACTCAATCATATGACCTACTGAAGAGATAAGTCTTCAGTAAAGACTTAAAGGTTGAGACCGAGTCTGCGTCTCTCACATGGGTAGGCAGACTGTTCCATAAAAATGGAGATCTATAGGAGAAAGCCCTGCCTCCCGCTGTTTGCTTAGAAATTCTAGGGACAATTAGGAGGCCTGCGTCTTGTGACCGTAGCGTACGTATTGGTATGTACGGCAGGACCAACTCGGAAAGATAGGTAGGAGCAAGCCCATGTAACGCTTTATAGGTTAACAGTAAAACCTTGAAATCAGCCCTTGCCTTAACAGGAAGCCAGTGTAGGGAAGCTAGCACTGGAGTAATATGATCAAATTTCTTGGTTCTAGTCAGGATTCTAGCAGCCGTATTTAGCACTAACTGAAGTTTATTTAGTGCTTTATCCGGGTAGCCGGAAAATAGAGCATTGCAGTAGTCTAACCTCATTATGGGGTATTGTGTGTAGATTGCTGAGGATTTATTTTTTATTTAATCCATTTTAGAATAAGGTTGTAAAGTAACAAAATGTGGAAAAAGTCAATGGGTCTGAATACTTTCCGAAGGCACTGTAAGTGTTTCCAAGTCTTTGAATATGAGCCTTCAGGCCTTTTGGTCTAACTGACAAGGGATTAGCCTTTGCCAACAAAACCAAAAGCCCTTGGTCAGGGTAGTAAGAGACAGTCTTTTCATTATACTGCACTCAACTGCAGGTTACAATATGAAGCAAGTGAAAAGCACTTAAAGTGGCAATCAGCAGTAGAAAAAATTAAGCGTCTTCCATGTCCCTGTTTCGGTAAGAAGCTATGGGAAGGGGCTGGAGAAATGTTACCACTCTCAAATTCTTAGACAGAGCTATGGATGCAAGGACTGAGCATCCATGATATAGCTTGAGGCTATACAGTGTTTGTTTACTTTGTTTACAAACATTGGAATAAAACAATCTTATATTTAGGGTTCTGGTGGGGTATGACAGTTGAACTAAGCTCATAAGGCCTTTATAAGTTATATTCTTCAAGAATAAATCGGTACATATCATTAATTTCCAAGTCCAAAGATGTATGTAGAAACTGCTGATTTCCCCTTTAAAATCCTAATGACAAGTACCTAGCTAATCTGATTAAATATTTCACCTGTTGAAGTGTTTTACTTATTATTGAAGGGTATTGTTGAACATACCTTGAGTGATGGGAAAAGTCATCATTCAGTGTGAACAGACTAGAGTGGGAACAGAGAAATTACATCTAGCTACAACGTGATGAGGATAGCTAGCTATTTTTTTTTTTTTTATAGCTAGCTACTGTCACTAACATTCTTTTGGCAATACTAGCTAACTTAGCTAGCTAGCTCACTATGAAACTATGAAAATCAGGGTCTAAACAGCTCAACAAGTTATAATTCAAGCATGCTTTTATAAGAATCATGCTAAATCTAAATACGATAGACTATACTTGCCAATGACATAATTAAGTTGTAGAAGAACTTTCCTTACCTGTAAATATTACACTGTACACTCCCAATCAAAAACTCAAACACAATTTACATTTACATTTTAGTCATTTAGCAGACGCTCTTATCCAGAGCGACTTATAGTTAGTGAGTGCATACATTTTTCATACCCAGGAATCTGACAGTAAAAACTCCCGGGAAACGTTTTGTGTTGGCTTCTATGGTGAACATGCGCACTCAGTCTCAGACAGTTAAAATCACCATTGAAAAGGTCGCGTATCACGCAGTACGATGTGTGGTTCTGAACTACTATTAAAAAGTAACGCGTACATTCACCATATGAATGGTGTGATTGGTATGATGATTTCCTCCTTTTAATGGGGTGATTGTAATATAATCGGGTACTCTATTTTACCCCCATTAGATTGACTCCACCCACTAACAAGTAACAACTCTTTCAAAATTCCAGGAAATGTTCTACGGCTCGAGCTGACATCTGTCTGCCTGCTGCGGAAGGAAACAAGGAGGGGTCAGAAAGAGAGAGAAGGGACCATAGAGAGAGAGAGAAACGTTAACAGTTTCAAAACTCGACGGAATTAGAGTTTCAAACTTCAATAATTTGATCACCTATCGTTATAGACGTGTTATAAGACTGGTCGGCCTTTATCGTTTTTTTTGTCTTGTCAGTGTTTGCGTTCTTGTTTTTCCTGGATTCATTGCGTGGTGAGTCAAACTATTTTTATACTTCCGGCACACCATACACTCACAGTGTTCGTTAAAAATTTTTTTTTAAAAATGATTTGAATATGAGCTGAAGTTGGTAGTCCCTGGGTTACACCTGAATAGGCCTACTGTACACTTACCTTGTGAGGCAGTTGTCTAAACCACCAGTTAGCGAGGGGAGTTGGCCAGTTTACGTTTTGCCTGCGATTTAATTTTAACACTGGTGTGTGTGAGAGAGAGAGAGATCGAGAGAGAGAGAGAGATGCGCAGTTGGCTATGGCCAAACTTGGATACTTTGGTAGGGCTGTACTGACACGGGCCGTATTCAATGGGCTAAAGCGGTTTTGAATCGTGCAGACTACTTTAGAAACCTAACCAGCCAGTTTCACATTCTCACTTCACACTCTCTCCCATGACGTACGGCTGAAGAAGTTACACAGTGTTTAGTCATAAACCTGTGGGTAACTACACACACACACACACACAGAGGGACTGTTTTATGGGCGGCAAACGGCAGAAGCATTTTTTCCAGCTGATATTTTTCACTGTTGCTTAGCACTGGAGATGTGACGTAATGGCATGTTTTAAGGTGGAGGCCTACACCCAAACTATCCCTGTTCGTGGGAGTTTAGAGGCCTACTCCCTAACTGTGGGAACTCCCATAATGATCATTGCAAGTTAAATGACCTATATAAACTCTACTCTATAAACTCTCTCTCTGTCTTTCTCTCTGTCAGTGAGCTCTGTAGTGTTTAGTGTATGTGATAATGTGTGGCGTATGTAATAGTATAATAGTGGTTATTGGAAATGTTACATTTGGTTGTGATGTTTGTATGGTTGTGATGTATGGTTGTGATGTTTGCAGTGTGTGTATGTGTGGTTGTGCTGCAGTGATGTGTGTGTGAACCACAGATATAAGCAGAAACATATGGAAACCCTTGCCGAAGACCAAGACAAACAAAAACTTCACAAAATGTTGTGATAATATGTTCACATACTGTTCTGAACTGTTTGGGTGGGAAGCATGTTGACGCGTTAAGACTCCTGTCTTAGTTCTGGTTGAATGGGCCATAACCACTTCTCTCTCTCGCTCTCCCTCCTCCCCTCTCTCTCTCTTTTCTCATCCTCTCAATTCAATTTCAATTTCAATTTAAGGGCTTTATTGGCATGGGAAACGTGTGTTAACATTGCCAAAGCAAGTGAAGTAGATAGTAAACAAAAGTGAAATAAACAATAAATATTAACAGTAAACATTACACTCAGAAGTTTCAAAAGAATAAAGACATTTCAAATGTCATATTATGTATATATACAGTGTAGTAACAATGTGCAAATAGTTAAAGTACAAATGGGAAAATAAATAAACATAAATATGGGTTGTATTTACAATGGTGTTTGTTCTCTCTCTCTCTCTCTCTCTCTCTCTCTCTCTCTCTCTCTCTCTCTCTCTCTCTCTCTCTCTCTCAGACAGTATGTCTCGGTCTGACTTCCCCCCGGGTTACGATGACTCTCATGCCCCCCTCTATGGCCCCCAAGGTGGTAACTACCCCCCTCCCCCCGCCTACGGCTTCCCTGCCTATGGAGGTCCCCCATCAGGCCAGCCCTCAGCCACCTATCCCTCTGGTCCCCATGGACCTCCATACCCCGGCCAGCCTGCCGGGTACCCTGCTGGGCCCTACCCAGGCCAGCCTCACCCTGGGGGTCCAGGTTACAACAACCAGCCTATGATGCCACCCATGCCCCCTATCATTCCCCCTACGATGCCAAGCAGTGCACTGAGCGGTAAGCCTGAACCCTCCTATCTCACCTGGCTGGGGCTTACTCTGAGTGTTCTGTTACTACTGAATAAGCTCCTTCACACAGTTAAAATAAATACTTGATACTATAGGTTATACTTTAGTAGTTGATTACCAGGCTTCTGTTCTGATGTGAACTGACAAATGACTCTAATGATGTCTCTGCTGATGTCACAGGCGATGGGGAGGGGTTTGCGGCAGGCAGCTTTGACAGTCTGAAAGTGCGACACTCCTTCATACGAAAGGTGAGAACACAGCACGCACACGCACACACACAGTTAACACACACACACAAACACACAAGAAGTGTATAATATTCTCTCTCTCTCTCTTTCTTTTTTCTTAGGTGTATATGATCCTGGCATCTCAGCTACTCGTCACTGTCGCAATCGTGGCCGTCTTCACATTTGTGTGAGTGTGTGTGTTACTATGACTGTGTATGACTGTGTGTTAGTGGTTTTGTGTTCCTGCACATGTGTGTTTGGATAACTGAGTTTCTCTTCTTTGCAGTGAATCTGTCAAGCTGTTTGTGATCAGAAACCCAGCTGTCTACTGGGCGTCATTGTAAGTACTATCCCTTATTACTGACCTATGGTTTTACAGTACTGTAGCTCAGTTGGTAGAGCATGGCGCTTGCAACGCCAGGGTTGTGGGTTCGTTTCCCACGGGGGGCCAGTATGAAAAATGTATACACTCACTAACTGTAAGTCGCTCTGGATAAGAGCGTCTACTAAATGACTCAAATGTAAATGTAAAAATTGACAGCTATACTGGCCTATGTTTTGCATGTGCTGTTTGATTGACAGCTGTGTTGACCTATGTCTTTGCAGCGCTGTGTATTTTGTCACTCACATTGTGCTGGTCTGCTGTAAAGGACCCAGGTGAGTCTCTTTCTTAAAGAACACCTTTGGTAAATGTTGACAATATAGTTGACAACAATGTTTTATTGTATTGAAGTGCTGTCCTTATGTGGCCCCTCCCCTGTCTTTAGGAGAAAATTCCCATGGAATATCATCCTGCTGGCCATCTTTGTAAGTAACTATCACTATTACTAGTCTGTACAGATCTGTTGAAAAAATGGCTAGCTGGTGCTCACTACAGGCTGTCTGGCAAGAACAAGGCAGATATGTCCATACCCAGAGTTTTATTTATCTTCGTCACCACCACACATAGTATGAACACACAAACTTTTCAGTGATTTTACCTGAAAGGTAAGAACAATTATAAACTGGGTAGTTCGAGCACTGAATGCTGATTGGCTGAGAGCCGTGGTATATCAGATCGTATACCACGGGTATGACAAAACATTTATTTTTACTGCTCTAATTACGTTGGTAACCAGTTTAATAGCAATAAGGCACCTCAGGGGTTTGTGGTATATGGCCAATATACCACGGCTAAGGGCTGTATCCAGGCAGCCCTTAGCCATGTTATATTGGCCATATACCACACCCCGTATACTCTGTTGTAAGCTATGCAATAGGAATATCTACAAGGAAAAGAAGGATAGCACATCAGGGTTTCACATGAAAGATTAGTATATAGAAGAGAGATAATAGAGATATAGAGAGACGAGAGCGAGAGATCCGATAGAATGAGATTGCCTCAGCACCTTTGCTTGCCGTTTAGACCCCTCACTAGAGCGAGACGATCCCGACCTCTGAGCGAAGAGCTCCCTCGCGATGACGCTAGGTTGACGATGGACACATCCAGATCCAGACGAGACGGGCAGGAGAGGAGGAGCACTACTCTGACGAGGAGAGGATGAGGAAGAGGGAGCCCTAGAGATGGTTTGGTGGAGAGAGGAGAGAGAGAGAAGAGAAGAGAGAGAGAGAGAGAGAGAATTTAGCTGACGATAGTCTCTGAAACTTCTACAATCTCTCGCCATGGCTTAACAGTAGCGCGAACTATGAAAGCGCAGCAGTAAAGTGCACATACAGGCTGTAGGAATGAACCATCTCTAAACAATAACATCTACTGCGCAACACTCATGCATGAAATGCAATATAGGCACTTATAAACGACATGCACATGGCGTAGCTGAAATATACTGTACATAAGCTGCAGCAGTACTACACAGCAACAGTTACAGATGTAACAAGGTAATTAGGCCTAAAGGTAATTGCTTGCAGTCAATCATCATAATGTAGCATTAACCCTCCCGACAATAAACCCCACAACTCACTTCTTAGACGCACGCACAATCTTCCTAACCAGAACTTGTGCCTTCTTCATCTTACGACTAAAAACACTGACCTGGAGTGGGAGGGGTCAGAAGGGGAGAGTTCACTCTAACAGGACTGTGGGGAAAGTCACTGTACAGGCATGACCTTTTTTTACCTCTGCACTGGGCCACACTAGTCTGTCATACCGCTCTATGGTGGCCTGCATTGTTCTATATTAATCTGTGTATTCTGTGTTCTACAGACACTGGCCATGTCCTACATGACTGGGACCATATCCAGGTGAGAGACACACACACACACACACACACACACACACACACACACACACACACACACACTCCTGAGCGTGGTAGTAATGTCTGTCTTGTCTCTGTGTGTCTCTGCTCTGTAGTTACTATGACACTAAGGCAGTGTTTCTGGCTCTGGGCATCACCGTCATCGTGTGTATCATCACCACTGTCTTCTGCTTTCAGACCAAGGTAAGAGACACCTGACAAGTGTGTGTGCGTATATGGGTGTGTGTGTGTGAGCAAGTGTTTGAAACTTCATAATGTCTCTCCTCAGGTGGACCTCACCTCATGCACAGGCCTATTCTGTGTCCTGGGGGTCGTTGTCATGGTGGCAGGCATCATCACAGCCATTGTGCTCTCCTTCAAATATGTGAGTTGGCATATTACGCACGCACACACTAGTGGTGCGCAGGTCAGCTGTTTGCTCCCCTGCACCCGCCTGCAATTGCTAATAACCCATCCACAACCTCCTGACTATATGTGATAAAGTTAAAATCTGGGGCCCGCACCCGACCCTAACCTGCAAATATAGAAAATGCGCTATAGGCTACAGTCAAATACGGCAGAACGAATTTTTGACAGGGGACAGGATTTTTGTTTTTGCCTGGTTTTAGATATGTTTCTGCTTATAATTTCTGACATTTTGGAAGGCTATTTGTTAGTCAACTTGTCTATAATAATTAGATACATGCAGCTTCTCTTCTGTCAATAGGCTGTATGTTGCCCTGGAAGACTAAATAAACCCTTGGTTACCAGGATAATGTCATAAATCGATCGAATTAATGCTTCAATGTAGTTGACATCGGTAAAGTTTTCTGTTATCTTCTTTCACAGAGCAAAGACGTTTAGGGACTGGGGAAAAATGCTATAACAAAAAGAAAATAAACGGGAAAGATTTTCTGTGTCAAATTTCCAAATGACATCAGTTTGACCGGTTGTAAGGAAGTAGAAAGCTGTGAAAACCTCTTAACATGTTTCTGTTAAGTTTTCAGTTCGGCTTGGATGCATATTTTATGTGTTTGAAATACTATCAGCTTTTATGATGCTGATAAAGATAGCACCTCTACAGATGGTATCTAACTGAGCATTCACTTTCTCTCAAGATGCGGAAATAAATAAATAATATTCCTCCACTCCTGTTCCCTAGTCAAAATGTTGCCTACAGTTTGGTGTATAATTTTACTGCAAGACTGTGAGAGGTTATAGACCTACAGTCAGAGTCCAAATTTCAGTTTCCATTTAACCCATCTGAACAGTAGGCTACAGTTCCCTTGACGTGGCATAGGCCTATTTGAAGTCCCCGTCTTGTGACTGTTGAATTTGTATAGCGCCTCACAATCATAACACATAACATAGAAAAGTCATGTTTGGGAAAGATTTGGTGAAGTGGCAAAACATTTATTTTCTGGCCCTCCCTTCTCTTTATTTTCTACTGTCCTTTCGTAGCTTTTCTCTTATTGAATTAAACTCACATTGTCCTTTTTTGCCTCCGTGGATTGACATGAACTTTTTCTGCCCGTTCCCAAAAGCATTTGGTGATTAGCATGTAGGCTATTGGCACACGTACATTTGGATCCTAAAGCTTAGGCTTATACACTCATGCCAGATAGCCTAAAATCATGAAAGAAAAACCTTAATGTAGCCTATAGATAGAAATTGCGCAAGAATTATACATTCATGGGTTTTTTAAAGGTATTGTTTTGTCTTTATTCAACCCACCCGCCACCCACCTGCCCTTCATCCACACAATATTTAATTACCCTAAACCCGTCCGCCCCGCGGGTATAACCGCGGGGACTGCGGGTTATGTGACACCCCACGCATCACTAACACACACACACACACCTTTAGCTATACCTAGTCATGTTTGTTTTCCATGTCTATTGTATGGTTCTGTGTTTTCTAATGGTGCTGTCTCCTCCTGGCCAGATTCCTTGGCTTCACATGGTGTATGCGGCCGTTGGAGCAGTAGTCTACACACTGGTGAGTACAATACACAGGTAGATGTAGTACAGACAGAACCACTTTAACTGTATGAGTATGTGTTTCTTCCTATAACATATACAGTGCTATGAAAAAGTATTTGCCCCCTTTCTAATTTTCTCTACTTTTGCATATTTGTGATACTGAATGTTATCAGATCTTCAACCAAAACCTAATATCAGATAAAGGGAACATAAGTGAACAAATAACACAACAATTACATATTTATTTCATTTATTTCATAAACAAAGTTATGCAACACCCAATTCCCCTGTGTGAAAAAGTAATTGCCCCCTTACACTCAATAACTGGTTGTGCCACCTTTAGCTGCAATGACTCCAACCAAATGCTTCCTGTAGTTGTTGATCAGTCTCTCACGTCGCTGTGGAGGAATTTTGGCCCACTCTTCCATGCAGAACTGCTTTAACTCAGTGACGTGTGGGTTTTCAAGCATGAACTGCTCTTTTCACGTCCTGCCACAACATCTCAATTGGGATTAGGTCTAGACTTTGACTAGGCCATTCCAAAACTTCCAATTTGTTGCTTTTTAGCTATTTTCATGTAGACTTGATTGTGTGTTTTGGATCATTGTCTTGCTGCATGACCCAGCTGCGCTTCAGCTTCAGCTCACAGACGGATGGTCTGACATTCTCCTGTAGAATTCTCTGATACAGAACAGAATTCATGGTTCCTTCTATTAAGGCAAGTCGTCCAGGTCCTGAGGCAGCAAAGCATCCCCAAACCATCACACCACCACCACCATGCTTGACCTTTGGTATGATGTTCTTACTGTGGAATGCAGTGTTTGGTTTTCGCCAGGCATAATGGGACCCATCCCGTCCAAAAAGTTGATTCAAGTTTGCCAAAAAGCACCTGGATGATCTTCAAGACTCTTGGAAGAACGTTTTATGGACAGATGATTCAAAAGTATAACTTTTTGGATGACATGGTTCCAGTAATGCCTGGCTAAAACCAAACTCTGCATTCCACAGTAAGAACATCATACCAAAGGTCAAGCATGGTGGTGGTGGTGTGATGGTTTGGGGATGCTTTGCTGCCTCAGGACCTGGACGACTTGCCTTAATAGAAGGAACCATGAATTCTGTTCTGTATCAGAGAATTCTACAGGAGAATGTCAGACCATCCGTCTGGTCAAAGTCCAGACCTAATCCCAATTGAGATGTTGTGGCAGAACTTGAAACGAGCAGTTCATGCTTGAAAACCCACACGTCACTGAGTTAAAGCAGTTCTGCATGGAAGAGTGGGCCAAAATTCCTCCACAGCGACGTGAGAGACTGATCAACAACCACAGGAAGCATTTGGTTGGAGTCATTGCAGCTAAAGGTGGCACAACCAGTTATTGAGTGTAAGGGGGCAATTACTTTTTCACACAGGGGAATTGGGTGTTGCATAACTTTGTTTATGAAATAAATATGTAATTGTTGTGTTATTTGTTCACTTATGTTCCCTTTATCTAATATTAGGTTTTGGTTGAAGATCTGATAACATTCAGTATCACAAATATGCAAAAGTAGAGAATTACTTTTTCATAGCACTGTATGTATAAAATATATTGCTGATATATTGTGGTTTGTAGTGATGGTATTTCTGACACATTGTTTGTAGTTGTGTTGTTAGTGTTATCTATGTAACTTTTTCTTGTCTGTAGTGACTTATTGCTGGTATATTACTGATATATTGCTAATATATTTTCTGATATCTTGCTGGTGTATTTCTGTGTGTAGTTTCTTGCGTACCACACACAGCTGTTGATCGGCAAGGGGAAGAACTCTATCAGTCCAGAGGAGTATGTGTTTGCAGCGCTCTCCATCTACATCGACATCGTCCAGATCTTCCTGTGCCTGCTGCAGCTTATTGGTGCAGCCAGCAGATGAATCACTGGAAACAACGTTCCCTCCCATCCCCACCCCCCAGAGACAGGCAGACTCAGCTCACCAGAGTGCAACTGCACTCACTATAGAATTAGAATGAGTAGTATGGAAATACTGGTGTACCTACCACAGAACGTTGTTTTGAATGGGAACGTTCTTTCTACAAATTCTAATTCTATGGTATTGACTACGCAAACACACATATTTAGCACTTTTCATCAAGTCTACTCTTCTGCTAAAATGTATCTGCTTGCAAAGACATATGTAGTAATATATCAGTATAGACACCAGTGGTGTAAAGTAACTAAGTAAAATACATTGAAGTACTATTTAAGTTGTTTTTTGGGTATCTGTACTTTACTATATCTATTTTTGACAACATTCTCTTTTACTCCACTACATTCCTAAAGAAAATATATACTTTTTACTCCCATACATTTTCCCTGACACCTAAAAGTACTTGTTACATTTTGAATGCTTAGCAGGACAGGAAAATTGTCCATTTCACACACTTATAAAGAACACATGGTCATACCTACTACCTCTGAAATGGCGGACTCACTAAACACAAATTGTTGGGAGTGTGCCCATGGCTATCCATAAATACAACAAATCTAGAAAATAGTGCTTTCTAGTTTGCTTAATATAAGCAATTTTAAATGATTCATAGCATTTACTATTACCTTTGATACTTAAGTATATTTTAAACCAGATACTTTTATACTTTTAATCAAGTAGTATTTTACTGGGTGAGTTTCACTTGAGTCATTTTCTATTAAGGTACAGTATCTTGACTTTTACCCAAGTATGACAATTGGGTACTTTTTCCACCACTGATAGACACACTGAATACAAAGCTGTAACTTAAACTAACTATCTTTATAGGAAGATTTTTTTTATTTTACCTTTTTTGTTCATAAAGTAAAAATCTGTGTTATGAGCTGGGAGCAGTAAGAGACTTCCTGAAATTGTCCAATAGGTTTGTGCCTGCTGAAGGCAACCCTGAGGTGTATTCACTAGGAGCCAAATGGAGGCAAACAAAAGCAACAGGAACCAAATGGGAAGGGACATTCCTGAATTTGTCCACTAGAAACTCATTTTTGTTGCAAAACATTTTCCAATGTGAAACGTTTAACTACTGTTTGCACTAGTAAATACACCCCCAATATCAGTCTTCCTCTGAGGCACAGATAGGAAGGAAATGTAGAAAGAGTTTATTTTTTACTCTGTATGTCTGATGCTTTTCTATGATCTTAACATGTGTAATTGGGAAATCATGAGCGAAAGCTCAGTGCTGATTGGCTTGATTTTTATGTACTTTTTGGTAATGAGAGTGTCGCCTTAGGCTGTGTTTAGACAGGCAGACCAATTCAAATCATTTTTTTTCACTAATTGGTCTTTTGACCAATCAGATCAGCGCTGAAAAAGAGCTGATGTGAAAAGATCTGATGTGATTGGTCAAAAGACCAGTTAGTGGAAAATAATATTGGAATTGGGCTGCCAGTCTAAACGCAGCCATAGTGATGCCATCTTTTAGATGTGCTTTATGTAAATGAAATGTCTGTTTCTGATGTACTTGTTAACACATATAGGAGTATACCTAATATAGTATTGTGAAACTCTGTTAGCTTTATTGTCATGTACTGGTTTGAACATACTAGGCTCAAATGTGTGTTTAGAACCCTCAGAACAGAACATTCCAATTGATCACATGGCAAACTGCTGCCAACTCTGAATATTAGAGTAGAACACTGATAATGAGAACACTGAGAACCATAGCCGCGGGAAGATGTTTGGGGGTGGGGGTACTGTGATGTTTCTGCCGACGGGTGGGTAGTGGCAGAATATTGATTTCTTTGCATGCGCTACAGACTGCTATATTGGTCCGCTAATACAGGATTAGTAAAGGCACAGTGCACTACTTTCGTGAGAGTTTATATTGTTCAAGGGGTGCTTCAGCACCCCTACTTCCCGCAGCTATAGAGTACCACAGTATGAGTCATAATACCCATAAAACCTAGAGGTCAAACAAGGAAATGGTTCCAATTGTTTTTCCACCATTCATTTTTCCCATATGGTATTTTAGAAACACTTAAAATAAGGGCTGTGTTTCGTGTAGGCTTACCCTTGCGTGACGTTTTGATAACCGTGTAAATCTCTCTAGGACAAGGTGACTTTTATCAATACATTTGCCCCCCCCCCCCCCCCCCCCCCCATTTTATGAAATGCTAATTAGCTGCTAATGTGGCTATCATAAAGAACTACAAATGCCATGATGATCTGGACTAGACTGCCGAATCGCGGCAAATGTAAGAATCTCTGGATTAACTATCTAATGTTAGTAAAATGTAGTAATGAGTCAATTGGCTACATTTCTTTAAATGGACAATGTTTTGTAAAATGTTTCAATTGACACAATACCTGTTAGCAAAGGTGTCAGCTAGAGATGACATGCAGGAGCTTCCAGTGATTTGTAGTTTTGCATGGTCTATTTTGATGCTAATTAGCATTTTCGAATCTTAGAGTAAATAGAAATGAATATATTGATAAAAGTCACCTTGTCCGAGAGAGATTTAAATGGTTATCAAAACATCACACCAGGGTATGCCTACACGAAACACAACCCTTATTGATTCTAAAATCCCCTATGGGTAAAATAAATGGTGGAAAAACGATTGGAACCATTTGGAACCACCTCCACTGTGAGGCTCTATGCTGAGAACAGTCCAAAATATACACCTAAAAGCATTAACATCTGATGTTCTTTTCTACCTGATGAGAAGAAAGGAAGCCACTTGATATTGACATTAAATTATTGATTGTTGAGCTAAATCAAAAGGGAACACGCCTCACAGGGTATACTTACTTAGCAGACACACCCTTGAGTTGAGTACTGATGGAAGTGCGGGTAGACCTGCCCCTAAGTGCTGATCTAAGGTCAATTTTCTAGTGGTTGATGTTGGAACTGAGTGTGGTGAGCTAATTCTAGAACTGAGTTTAGGGGCATCTCTAGTCTAGATAGACTCACTTTGAGATGTATGTCACTGAAACCTTTGGCGCCAACTTGCTGCCCAGACAGTAACGCGATTACAATCGGTTGCCATGGAACGTTTGGTGCTAGTTTGGAGGACAGTTTGCCAAAGTCTATAGGAGCTTGCTAATGCTAATGAGAAAAATATGGACACATCTGTATTGATTTTCAAATCAAATTAAATATTTTATTACCACGTGTGTAATTGAATCTGTAATCAAAACCGTTCAAATCACATTTGATAAGATTATAAATATCCAGGATGACACATCTGTTTATTATATACAGAACATACACATCATGGGGGCATATTTTAACTGGGGCATTCTACACGTAGATATAGAACATTATGGTATATCTCTATGATTCTACATCTCTACTATGGGCTTTTAAAGAGATAGTCAGACTGATATCATGGCTTGCTATGTCACTGCTTCATTCAAAACATAAAACGGTAAGACCACAGACAAATCTGGAAATACGGGATCTGTTGAATGAAGCAGTGACATAGCAAGCTATGACATCAGTCTGGTCAGGAAAGACTGGGCCCTATACTGATCGAGCCAGATATATCTTCTTGGGGCTGAGCGTGTGCTCATCATGGACTAATGAGAGTTGATTCAAATAAATAATAATAATAATAATATGCCATTTAGCAGACGCTCTTATCCAAAGCGACTTACAGTCATGCGTGCATACATTTTTGTGTATGGGTGGTCCCGGGGATCGAACCCACTACCTTGGCGTTACAGGCGCCGTGCTCTACCAGCTGAGCTACAGAGGACCACATATACCCACAAATAAACTCTTGTGGGTGCGAACATAATTACTGAACCAAGTATCGGTCTCTCAAACTGTTTTAATGTGATCAGTTAGTCTCTTTTAGGCTTCATCAGTCCAGATACACACACAAGCTGCAGTCACACATAACTTCTCAATTCAGTTGGTATTAGTCCAGTCTGTTGTGGTAGCGACTGCCCTCGTTCGATCTGTTCATCCGCAGGCGAATCCTCAGCTGCTTCAGATCCACCGCTCTCTTTGTCAGGATGAAACGTATTATACCTGCAGGGAGACTTATCATCCTGCAGAGAGAAAGAGGGGAAAGATCTGAATATAAACCACGTTAGAGAACAGACCCACTCGGCACAGTGAAACAGCTGATTCCTCTTACGGAACCAATTGAGCTCTGCTATGAAAATCAGAAAATTACAATACCCATACTGGTATCAGAACATACACCTATTGCATTGTTGGGAAGAGATGCATTGTGTAAATTGAACTGTACAATAAAATGTACACCAGACGGCTGTCTGGTAGAAGTGCCAAAGGAAAAGGTTTACCAATTGTTGATGATGACAGAGATGGATTCTTCTTCAGTATTCTGGATTGGAAATCTCTGTGAAGATTTTTTGAAGCAGGCTAAGATATGGGAGAAATTCATTGTGGCAAATATGCCAGATGCGAGGCTTCCGGAATATCCATTTCATTGTACGCTCAAGTATTTCAAGAATGCTGCCCAATCGAACTCAGAGGAATGGTTGAGTCATCAACCAAAGAAAGTTCAACTCAGCTCATGTTGCATAATTTTAGGACCACAAGGAGCAGCTATGAAGATAAACACAGACGATTATCTGGATAAAGAATTTGAGATTGAGAAGAGTGTGCCACATGTGACCTTGTTGATTTCTGAAGGCTATGAGCAGAAGCAAATAGGAGAAATGATGACAGAAGCAGAGAAAGCTGTTTTCGTACCGATGAAAGAGAATTTGGCGATTTGGAGGAGTGAAGATCAGCGATTTCTCAAAATCATGATTTCGGCTCAAGGACAAGGAGAGCCACAAGCTGTACGGATGACACATGAACCTATTTGCAGTGCGAAGATGGATTCAGACCCTATGAAAGAGGAGATGTTGCAACAAGTTCCAGAATGTTTGTGGTCTCAACACAGTACCGATATTGGACTTGTGAAATCAGCCCAACCAGTGAAAGTTGAACTTCGACCAGGATCAAGACCTCCTTGGAAGAATCAGTATCCATTGAAAGATGAAGCAATCCAAGGGATTGAACCACAAATTGAAGGACTTTCGAAAGCAGGTGTTTTGAAGAAAATAGAAAATCCTCAGAGTAACAATCCTTTGTTGTCTTTGGAGAAGCCATGAGGGGTTGATAGTAGCGCCTCTAGACCTATTAGGTCTGATGATTCAGGAAGCACATGGGTTAGCTAATGTTGCAAGGGGGGAGGTTAGGAGAAAGATCACAAAGGAGTATGGTTTTTGGGAACCATATTTGCTCTAACAGGTTGACTATGTCATAGGCAGTTGCACAATCTGTCTGAAAAATAATGTTTGCAGGG